GGTTGGACTAGATGATCTCCTGAGGTCCCTTCCAACCCCCACCATTCTGTGATTCTGTGTGATTCTATAAACATTCCATAAACAGTCATAAAAAGAGGAATGGTCATTTTATAGATAATAATAATGGGTGAAAGAGGCCAGGGAAAAGGTGGAATCAGTGATTTATGAGAGAACAGGAGGAGAGTTACTATTGGAGTCCCAAAGCGGCCTGTGTGATTTTTTTTTTTAAATCTACGAATGTAATTGAAAATGGGGAAATAATGAGTTGAGAAGGATCTTATGATACTGAGTGGTTTGTAGAGCAGATGAAATTCAAAATCAGTAAATGAGAAATGAGGCATCTAGGAAAGAAATGTAACTCTAGTAGACATTCAGTTGTGGATTTAGGAATAGCTACATTGTGCTGGGAAAAAAAGTAGCATACTTGTGGATAATTCTCTGAAAACACCATCTCATTGCTCAGTGGTGGTCAGAGACCCACAGAGCCTTAAAGGTTGTTAGGAAAGGAATAAATAACAAAAGAAAAAGCATTATACTGCTGTATAAACGTGTAGTAAGTGTGTATATCTATGTGTGCAGCTATGATTTCTCAGAAGGGTCATAATCAAAATATGAGGAAGTGATATAGATGGTCAAACCTATGGAAGTATTTCTGTGCTAAGAGACACTTGAGGTAGAACAAAAATCTGTACAATCACAGGTGACATGGGGAAGATGAATGATAAACAAAAAAAAAGATTTCTTGTAATAAGAAAACTCTGGAAACTAAAAGGAAAATAATTTTCAGTCAGTACACAATGAAACCTTTCAACTCACTGTCACGAGGTAGTAAGATTAAAAATATAAATGTTTTCAAAATGTTGTCATGCAAAGTGACAAAAGAAAAGCCTGTCAGGGTATATAGAAGATAGATGACATCTGGTTTAGGAAGCTTCTTTAACTATAGATTACTAGAAGTTGAGAGGCTCTAAAATGAAGACACATCACTGTCTTTCCTCTCATATGGCTCTGCAACCAGCTCTGCAAATGCTGGCCATTGTCAAAGGAGGAACAGGCTAACTGGATCTTTAATGTGATTCACAGTGGCCATTTTCATACTTTGTTTTGCCAATCATCATTAAGTAAATTTATACTATACACCTTTTTACTACAAATCTAGAAAATAAAGACATTTTCTAGTTTGTTTCATACTTGGGCTTTAAAAAAAACCACTTGACATCCTGCCTGCCCATTTTCAGTGATATCCAGGATGTTTTCCTTGTTAAAATTGAATCCTTGTTGCTCTCCAGAAAAAGGGAGAGCTGGGCTGGAATACAGTTACTTTGGAAGCATAGCACTGAGGTCATGACTCAATGAAATTTTTCAGTTTCGGGCAAGAGAGAGGAGAAATCTGTTTTGCCTCAATTTCTTACAGAGTGAGAGTGGTGAATGTGAAGGACATGCTGAAGAAGGTCCGCTCTGCCTGACATTTTTCTTTAGTTCAGTCTCCTTTCTGTTGACTGCATCAGGAGACACTTGGAGGCTGATCAGGGCTGCTCAAAACAGGTGTCTGTTTTGTCTTGTGACAGCCCAGGGAGTCCCTAAGAAACACAAGGATTTTCCACCCACTGGAATTTTCTCTCTTCTGAGCAGTAGTATTCAGTGGAGTGCAGCATGGGGTGAAGAAAGCAAGACTGCCTCTGGCATGGTGGTTAGGACATTGTTTTAAGCAGGGGAAACATGCCTTCCCTACTGCTTTTGTTATCCATTGCTTTGTGGTTTTGTTTATTGCTTTTGTTTATTGTTGGTCTAAGGAAAATGTTTTTGCATTTCTGAGAGCTGGGTCTGAAACCCTAGTTCTGCCTCCTCCTTGCTAACTGTTCTTGCTGCTGAGTTAGGTTACCCTTTGCATGTCATTCTTCTGATTCTGAGTGACTTGGCTTCAAAAGTGGGGATGACAGTACCCTTGCCCAGGGGTATGTAGTGTCCTTGTGGTGTGGGGAATAGAGCTTTTGAAGAGTCAACCACCCAAAGATGTTCATTTTGAGATGTTGGATGGAACTGTGTGTAAATACCTGTCAAGTCTCCAGTTTCTTTGTGGAATGTAGGCAGAGTTAGAGTGACTGTCTGTCTACTGTAAATTGCAGTGGAGCCAGAAAGGTGCCAACCTCCCAGAGAAATACTTCCTAGCATGTGGGAGTAACCTTTAGGATAATTAGACATGTCAAATTAATTTAGGTATTAAACAGGATTTAGGCAAGCTGAGTAACTGCAAGGAAGTTGTGGATGCCCCCTCCCTGGAAGTGTTCGAGGCCAGGTTGGATGAGGCTTTGAGCAACCTGGTCTAGTGGAAGGTGTCCCTGCTGATGGCAGGGGGGTTGGAACTAGATGATCTTTAAGGTCCCTTCCAACCCAAACTGTTATGTGATTCTGTGATTCTATGATCCACTCAGTGTAAATGCTGATAAATGCATCAGTGTTGTTCAAAGAGCTGAAATGTTTCTCTGATGTTGTATTTTACTGTAAAATAAAAGCATTAAAAATTTAACTAGAATTATTATTAAAATTGGCTGTATATTTAATTGCAGGTAATAAAATTCAAAGTTGTGCTTTCTAGTGGAAGCGCAAGGAAAGGCAGGGAGGAGATACGCATGTAGCACACAGTGGAGATGGGGAAAGAAGAGCATCAAGCTCGAGCAGTTTTTTCAAGGCAGCTTCTTTATAAATTGCGGGTTTGGGTGAAATTGCATTAAATCTAGAAAATAACTGAGTTTATAAGAAATGCATCTAAATTTTTAGAATCATATGGTACAAATAAAAATGGCTTTTTTTCTGCTGATATCTTGATTGTATTAATTTTAAGGCCAGATCTGAGATGAGTTATAAGGTATGGGAAATGTTCCTTTAGGGACCAGGTTACACCTATTGAATTTCATTTGTACAGTGGGGTTGGTGGCTTAGCAACCAGAACATTTATGGACTAGCTTAATTAAGGGCGTTGTTTCTGATTGTACCTGAGTGTAAGGCAGGTAGCTCTAAAGGAAAACAAATTTGCCGGTCTAATTTTTGTAGGTTCTTTTTCAAGAAAAAAAACCAAACAAACAACAAAAATGACAAAAGAACTCCCCAAAATATATGTGTAAAAGAATGGTAAACTGCTGGGAGCTCAGAGAAGGGATAATGCATGGGGAAAGAACAAAAGACTGAAGAGTTTGGTTCAAAGCAGTTTACTGATTTTTTTAATAGATAAAGTCAATTATTTTAAATTTTAGCATATGTTATTTCCCCCTTTCATTATCTCATCTGTATTATTTGGTTTAAATATTATAAAATTTTAAAATCACATCCTAGCTTAACTCTGGCCTGCAACATATATCCCTACAGCTTTAGGTTTGGGTGTTAGAATAGGTCTACGATAGTACAAGAAATGGCTTTAATAACCAGTTAGAGGGGAAAGGTGCTGAAGTCTGTGCCAGCAGAATGTCAAAACCAGTCTGAGGGTGGTGTTGCATATCCCACTGGGGACTGGCATTAGTCTTTTATGGTGGATTAGGAGTATGTGTCAGAAGCACTCATACCTGCTGTGTTTGGTTCACATCTTGGAGCCGTGTAGGTGCTTGTGAACCCAATCCTTCTCAAGTCAGCCTAAACCAGAGGCTATGCTCTGGGAGTGCCTCAGTGTGCTCCAGCTGTTAGTGGGTGGCCAGCCCATGGGACAGGTGCCCTGTAAGGCAAACGTGCATTTTAATAGTGACCTCCTACCAGTCTCCTGAACACGAGACTGGATACATGCCTTTCCACTGCTCACCTGATCTCAACGTGGAGGTGACAAAGCAAGGTGTTTTCAAAGCAGATAAAACCATCTCTCTTCCTACCACAGAGCATGCTTACTCCTGGCATGATTTAGTGGATTGTTCTAGTGTTTCCTCATTGACTAGAGGAGCTCTGGGGAAGCAGGCTCATAAATCATGCCCAGTGAATATGCTTGCCTTCCTGTTGTAACATGGTGTAGGAGAAAGTTTGGGCATAAAGATGAAAAATGGAGAATAAGAGTATAGTTTTAATTGATTTGTATAATGAATTCACGTTTTCCCGGGTTGGTATCTTTAGCGTGTTAAATGTCTGTTTTCTTTCAGTGTTTTTATGGTGGTATATTATATACAGATGCAGGGTGAACATGTAAGATGTCTAGGATTGCAGTTGTTTTCTTTAGATTTCTCTGCCTTTCTATAACTCACAGAAATGGAGGTGGGCTAAAATGCTGTAAAGAAAATGCATCAAGAAGAAAATTAATTTTTGTCTTTTTTTCTGTTGAACAATCAGTCACATTTTTTCAGGCTATCCTGGGAGCTTATGAAATGGGGGAGAGTTAATTGGCTTGTCCCTGTTGGTGTGGTGACCAGTGAGTGCATTATGTCTGTGTCTTCAAAATGTCTTGATTTGCTTATATCCACAGTCTTAGGAATGTGGATTCAAGAAAGTGTTCATGGCTGAGGCGCAGTAACATTCTTTCACAGTGCAATGGAAAGCGTTTAGTTTTAACGCTGGTTGTTTACCTGTGGCTGTTTGCAAATGATAGACACTAGTGTGGTAATTGCAGTACTAAAATATATGAATCTTTCTTTTCTAGGCTGACCTATCTTTGTACAATGAATTCAGATCTTGGAAGGATGAGCCTACTATGGACAGAACGTGTCCTTTCTTGGACAAAATTTATCGGGAAGATATATTTCCATGTTTAACTTTCTCAAAAAGTGAGGTAATGGAAATAGTCTAAATGTAGTAACTGACACTTCTCCCTTAAACAAGTTACATGAAACCAATAGACTGTATTAAACATGTTTTCATATGAAGTTTGACTATTTTTGTTTCATTAGAGCATGACATTTTACAGCGAAGTTCTGGTTTAGTCTAGAGTATTGAAATGATCATTTTTTTTCTTCACCATTATGTTATTCCAGATAAGGTCTTTTTAGATCTGCTCCTTCAGATGTCACTGCTGTCTGGCAGAATCTGCTGTTTGTAGGAATGGATGGTCGTTTTTTTTTCCTGATGTTTCAAAGATACTGTTTTGTAGAAATAGTGTCCTGTCACTGTCTCTTGTTTATATAGGGGGCAGTAGAGACCAATATATTTAATTTTGTGGACCAGTTTTCTTTCATATCAATCAGAGCAGGCTATAAGCACAATCTAGGCATTTTCTTGGAGAGGTTGAGTTACAAAAATTAGACTTAAGGATTTGATGTGATTCAGTAGGGGCAGTTTGGGAATGTGGTTTTAGATTAAACAAATTATGAGGCTTTTTCCCTTGTGTTATGCCTGCGCATTCTCCCATTCAGTGGACAGACTGGAGTTTTAGCCATCCTGGGAATAATGTGGAATTGATTGCAGCTACAACTGCTTTACTTAGTTTTTGTTCTTAAACAGCATTCACAGGCTGTAGTTGTGATATCAGTCTCTAGGGGAAAGAGACCATACATATTCTTAGATCTTTATTATAATAAGAATAACAAATTTTAAAGACCTCAGACTTGATTTTTTTTCCCAATAAAATTAAACAACTCACATGGAAAATGCTGCATTTTCTTCATAACGTTTACCTGTTGTTTTCATGTGGTGTTATGTTCTTTTCCCATGCTTTTCATCTGCTATTACTTGCTGGCCATAAACATGCATGATTGTTTAGTTAATTGTATACCAGTTCATTATGGTTGGTGTACAGCATCATATGAACCTCTCCCACTAAAAAGTTTACTTGGTTACTATGGGAATTAAATTGCTTCTGCAAGTTGTGTAAGTAGGCCATCCTGCTGTCTTTCCCAGCAACTTAATTTGGGGTTTTTTTCTGCTTCTGTAGTGATATAATTACTGTAGATTTTTATTTCCTCTTAAGGAAAGAATGAGGCTTCTCACATGTGTCAGTTATATCAGTTATTGTTTCCAGATGCTGTACATAGTGACCAGCTTCTGGTTTTGCTTGAATATTGATAAACCAATGTGCAGTTAAACCAAACAATAAACTACACATGTATTGTTTTTGAATAACTGGAAATGCATTTATCTGAATGGTTGGTTACATTGACTCTCAGTAGCCTCTTGTGTCTATGTGCAGTGTTTTGCTTTTGGGAGATGGCAGAGAATGAATATTTTAGAAACAGAATGTTACTATTAAAGTAGTTCATATAAAATACTCTAAGTACAATAGAAAAATATCTTTATTACTAAGTGGGAAGGAACTTTGGCACAGAATTATTTCACTAATAACATAAATTCCACCTTCTTTTAAATCAAGTGCTGACTATTACTTGTCCATAGTTGAACAGTAGTCTTGGGCAGGTGTTGAGTCCAGTCAAACAAAATGAGCATATTTCTAGTTTTTTTATGATTGTGCGCTTATAAAGAATTAACGTAAAAAGCCTGAGCAAAGTAACACTATTTCATGAAAATGATGTTTTAACTTGAGTGGTGGTTGAAAGTTGCAACTGGCTTTTCTATATATTATGTTGACTTTTCTATATATTGTTCAGTTTTACTTGTTTGAACACCTTTCTAAAGCTGTCTTTGTCTGAAAAACAGTGACATAATATTTACTTGCTTTTTGAAAGATAAGGAAGCATGCTGCATGATTTTGTGTTTTCATAGAACACATTAAAATTAGAACCATTTTTTTTTTTAATAAATTTTGTGCCATATCGAGTCTCTGACAAGAACACTGCATGTACAAATGTACGTGCTGTTTGGGCTTATGAGGAATGACTGGAAACACAGTTAGCATTTTAAACATGCTTGACTACATTCCTGGCTGTAAAGGCAGTTATCTTGCCTAAGGGAGGGGTTACTTGGAGGGCAGAACTTAAACAGGAGCCTGGAAATGGGACCACTTGCTCACAATGAAAGCAAAATCTCATTTGTAATTGAATTTGTTTGGTGAGTTGACTTTTTTCAGTGTTCCTAACTTTACAAAAGAAGAAATATGTCATTGCTTTGAGGTAATGTATCGCACAGAGCTCTTTTTAACTGCTTTCTAAATTTCTCTTGCAGTTGGCCTCAGCTGTTCTGGAAGCTGTTGAAAACAACACTCTGAGCATTGAACCTGTTGGCTTGCAACCTGTTCGATTTGTGAAAGCTTCTGCAGTTGAATGTGGAGGACCAAAGTAAGTTAAGCTAACAGACAAGGGGAATCTTGACTCATTTGTGATCACTTTTGGATTAAGAAAACTGCTCTCAACTGATCACCTCAGTCAAATCTGTGTATCTTAAACTTTATTTCCTAAAATCTAAGACTTTTAATGAACAAATAATGGGGTTACAACATTATGATGGGGTTACAACATTGGTAGATA